TATTAGTAGGTTCCTTGCAGATAATATAACTTAAAATAATTTGTATATGTTGAAAATTAATATTAAAATATTGTATTTATTAAACTTACAACTTGTGAAAAGTATAAAGCTAAAGAAATACAAGAAGTGGATGATACGATCGCGTGTTTCTATTATATAATCTAGTAAAAAGAAGAATAAGGGTTAATAGTATGGCACACTTGTAGCTACAGATTTCACATCCGTTTGATCATAATAATTCGTGGAATTCTTTGTAAAGCTTGTAACACCAAATGAAGCAAATTTGTCAAGCCACTGTTTGTCCTGATGTACATTCAGCAGATAATTTGTGATCTGTTTTGTTATATCACCTGTAAATTGAACGAATGTGTCACTTATAAATGCATGTATAAAATAAAACATGAAAACAATGCAGTGTTTGTTTTATCAATTATTTCGGTATCGGGTAACAAGAATCAATGATTTTTTCTGAATTAGAATAGTTTGATACAATTTGGCAGCCATATTAGTATTTCTTATAGTTGATTTTACATGAAAATTTTGAAGTTGTTAACATACCTGAAAGTGTCTTTTTTACCATAATGCGATATGGCGGTAATGGTCCCAGACTTGTTAAAATTTGAACTGAGTCGATTCCTGGAAGTGCATCTTCTTGACCCTTAATAACAGGCGACTCTATGATTCCAACTTCTGCTTGTTTCCCTGCTACCATCTGTAAAGCTGCAACTTGCGTTTCGGCATCTAAAAATCGATGTTGAACATAGGTAGTATTCTCATTTTTTTTGTAGCGGCCAAAATACGATTGATTTAATCATATACAAACCCAGTGTGTTGCCAAAAAAGGTCGGATTTTCACCTCTACTGTGTAAATAATTAAATATCAATGCTGTTACTCCAATCTGTTTTTTCCGATCTGGCAGAGAACATCGATGACCACGAAGATCTAGGATGTCCTACAATTGAATATGTGCATGTTAATAGGTTTCTGTTATTAGTTGCTATTTCTACTGTAATTTTATTTTTACTTTAACATGTGAAGCTCGATCGGTTGCTACGATGACATCGGCGTAGACACATGGTGAATTATTTTTATTCAGATGGTGTTGGAAGCAGAAACTTGCGGGCAAAAGTTCACCATCTTCCCACTCTTCGCTTGCTGGCAAGATAGCTAAAAGAAACAGCACCGAACGTGTATCAACAAATTCATAACACGGAATATAATTTGGTAAAAATAAAGTAAATGCTTAGATGCAGGGTGTTTTCAAATTACGGGAAATTCTAACACTATATTGTGCATTGTCTCTGGTAGTAACAGCCTACCAATATCAACGACATCCTTTGCAACTGGCCTATGGCTTCTAGGCTCGTACATCAATACGACCGGTTTCTCAGTTGCAACTTCGATAGCTTCCACAAGCACTTCGAACAATCCAATTGGTAATGAAGGCACTAAATGAGTTGCCAACACAAGGGGACGTACATTTAAGAGTGGCTTTGACAAAGGAGGATACTTTCGTGGAACAGCAACATTAGTTGGCTTTTGTTCACCCTGTAAAAACCATTATATAAAATAATTAAGTCTGAAAATTTCTTAGATTTGTGTGCCGTAGCAATTTATAAATACACAGATGTGAGTAATCTAATATTAGGAGGATTTTCCCTTGTTAAAGGGGAAAATAAGCAAAAAGGGTGAATCCATTGCCCGCGATAATGTTACGAGAAATCAAAGAAGAAAGTGTCAATACAATAACTGTAAACATGAAAACGCATAATGGAAAAAGAAAATTTAGAACTCTCCATCTCACAATTCTCGAAACAACAAGATATAACTGAAAATTCAAAACAACACAAGCATTTTTTAAGAAATTATGATATTCGTTCGGTCCCCTCAGTCTCATCATTCTTGAACCTTCGTCGGAATAAGACGTGTTCGTACAGCGGTCAGAGACGCAGATAGCCGAAGGGAAATTTCACAGAAGTAAAGAAAAGCATCGAAAAACGCGCGGTCATGATATCTTCACAATACAGTATTTAATAATGCAGTGAATAAGTTACACCATCCAGAAGCTCATTCTTTTATCTTACATGTGAGATATATTTATACCAAAAGGAGAAAAAGAAATAAAAATGACGATGCCAATGAACAGTAATTAAACAATAACAGACATCACTACGAGAATACCCTGTGATATCGGAATCAACAGTTTCGGCGATTAGCACAGTTAAACATTTATTCGAAGATGAAACCATCAAACAGATTAATTCCACGCCGAATTTACTTAGAGAAGACAAACAAAGATTGACAGAAAGCTCAACGAGCATGAGTAAAATCAAGGAAATCCATCTGATCACGAAGCAACAAGGAGGGAAAGGCATCATGGACAACAAGAATCAAGATGGACTATTTAAAATAATAGAAAATTTAAATCAAACCACGCAAAGACTATCCAAACAATTAGAAGAAAAATGCCTAAAGGAAAACAAACAAGGTGTCAATCGATATCTCACAAGAGACGAACAGAAGAAATTCGCAAGTCAAAGAAAACATAACACGTGTATCCATACCGCATCGAAGAAAAAGGACACATTACAAACTTCTACACACACACAGTCTATTATACGTGACGGACATTCTTCGCGCAAAGAAAGGAGGAAGATCGCCAGAAACTCAGCTGCGTTAAACGATCACCGATGAACATAATAGGGAGAACCACAAAAACCACCATCAATATTATAAAAAAAGACATGTATTACGAATAATGTTGTAGTAAAAAATATGAACAGCGATAAACATCTAGTCCAAATATACGACGTAGTAGAATTAAAAAAATATATTTATCACTGAAAAGTAGTAATATTAAATATTACACGTACACATCGAAAAATGAAAACCGCAAGATACTGTTAATAAAAGTTTTATTAGAAACACAAAGCAAAAAAAAGACAGAAAATCTTAATTTTCTAAATGTAAAGAAATTTAAAACAAATTCAGTCGGAAATAGCAAAATTTTACCAATATTTATAGTAAAACTTTCCTCGGATAATAAATTAGAACAATTCAAGGATATTAAAGTAATTTCGCACTCGGCAATTACTTGGGAGAAGTTAAATAAATCTGAAGAGGTATAGTATATATAGAAGATACGAGAGGCCGCAGTCAACTGCAATTTAGAGTATAGATGCGCGAAATGCGCAAAAAACAAACTCCTCTCATTAGATGATAAAAAACAGAGCGATAAATATAGATAAAGCATATTGCGTTCACTGCAAAAACTTTGGCCATCTCGCCTTTTACAGAGAATGTCTAAAACTTAAAGGAATTAGAAATCCCATATCTACTACACAAATTCACTCACACACACACAATCATTCACACGTAAAAGCCTACTATCTCTATAAGTAACTCAGCATCCTCCCTAATAGATGAAATACAAAAGCCCTCACACAAACACACACGCGCGCGCGCACACACGCAAAGAGTAAGCAACAAATTCGAAAAAAATAGCAGAACAGGTCAAGAAAGCAACGCTGATAAAATAAACGCAATGTTAGACATCCTAGACATAAACTTGCAATAGAAATAGCTTCACCAGATAACAACCAAAGAATAATCGATGAACTAAATATCGTATCTGTGAATGTAAACTCCATCATCATCAATGAAAGACAAACAACTCTGACAGACTTCTTGACATTACATTCCCCAACAGTGGCGGATTAAGGTGTAATGGGGCCCGAGGCGCAATAAAAAATTGATATGCTACGACAATTAGAGCCATTATTATAAAGTTTTGATTTAAAAATTTTATTTTAAAGCTTTCATTAATTAAAATTAATTTAAACAACAGCTTTTCCGGACTTTTGTTTCGAACTGGGGAATTCCCGAAACCCGATGCTTGGGACGGGATCCCGAGAATAATCGGGATTCCTGAAAACATTTGATTTCCTATGCTATCAATTACTGCAAAACGACACATCGTTTCCTATTCCCGTCTCGACCCGTTCTTGCACACCTCTAATATATGTATAATGAGTGTATTAGTATGTTGAAAATGTCGTTTTTTAAACAGTCGATATGAAATGCTGGGTATTCTTCCGTGAAATATATTTTTTAATTCTGAAATTTTCGATGCCAACTGTCCCATAATGTCAGCTGTCTCGAATAATCGTATCTCCACTTCCCAAATTGTACATTTTCGTGCACAATCTGAGTGTGAATTGGGGAGCATTTACTGTAAATACTCATTGCATCTGTATTGAAATCACAGTCGAAAATTTGAAATTAATCATACTAAATGTGTATTTTCCGCCATCTTGAAATCATCCTCCAGACAATAGGCAACCAAAATCTTATAACCACATTTCTCCATCATATCTCAAAAGTGGAGCCTTCATTGACAACTGCATAGCTGGCAACACATTACAATTCCACCCGCACACGAGAAACTCGACTGAATTGACGAAACAACTCGAAATTACGAACAATTGATTATATACCACTACAATAGAAAAACACACGACAAAAGAATACTTTACGACAGCAACGTCAATTTTGACGACCCAGAAATCCGCTTTAGTTATAATTTAACAAAACACGACAAAGGAATTATTGTAAAAGAAAGACCTAGAAAAGTATTGACGGTTACAGAAATAATATTAACAGACACATGTAGAAATAATAAATGTTAAAACAGCGTCTCGTCCTCGATAGTATAGTGATCAGTATCCCCAGTTCGACTCTGACCGTCGTAAGAGTAGGACGTGCCCCTCGAGCAGCTCAAAACTGTAGTCGAAGGACGGTACAAGCAACGAAGCGTTGCAGCGAATACGCTAAATAGACGGCATACCCAACAAGAATCATTGTGCAAATTGCGTACAACAGTGTACATGATTATCAAAAAGTGAGTGCCAGAAGTGTAAAAACCCCAAAAGGGGCACCACCTACAGAAAAAAATGTGACAGAAAGTGTTCAGTCACCAGTTAAAAGTGGTTTTCACGGAGAACGCAAAAAGAATGCCATTCTAAATTTAATAACAAATCAGGACTACCCAGAACTAAACAACATAATATTGAATCGGCAAATCAAAGAAATCATAAAAGGTAGAAAACAGACAAAAAGGCTCAACCCACCGCCTACGATAATCCCAAGAAAAATAATAAAAGACAGCGTCGTAACAACTACTGTAAACATGAAGACTAACAACCAAAAGAAAACCCGAAAGCAAAACAGCAGAACTATCGAAAACCCCTCATACGAGGAATTAATACAACAAAATAAAAACCTGAGCATTCTAGTCGAGAATCTCACGAAGCAGCTCGAAAAAAGTGCCACGCTGTCGCCAATGTCTCAGGTAGAGAAAGTTGGGACAGAGGAAATGGAAAATAACAACCAAAAGGAAACTCAAAAGCAAATCAGCAGAACTACTGAAAACCCCTCATAGGGGAGGAATTAATAAGACAAAAAATAAAAACCTCAGCATATTAGTCGAGAATCTAACGAAGCAGCTTGAAACAAGTGCCACACCGTCAACAATGTCCCGGGTAGAGAAAGCGGGGACAGAAGAAATAGAAATCGCCATCGAGGACCATTCAAGGACACCCGAAAAAAGCAGTTGGACGACGGTAGTGAATTCCAGAAGAGGGATTCAAACAACGGAGGCGGGAAATACGGCAGACTATGTACACTGACAAGGACCCAGCAGTGCCCCCGCTCAGCCATGCCCCCCGCAGCACCACAGACAGACAACACCGAGATACCAACAGGCACCCCCATGAGCGCATCGAACACAACGAACGCAGCAGGTAAAGGAAAGCGAAATTTACGGAACCTCGATGACATCATACAACGCGAATCAACTTTCACCCAAAAACCACCCCCAATCACATTACATACAAACACGATAAAAGACATAATAGACGTATTTTCAAAAAAATAAAGGACTTTAACATAAAAAGGATTAATAACAATAAACACATTCTACAGACACACGCATTAGACAATTATAAAGTAGCCTGCGAAATGTTAAAACAACGGCAAACACAATTCTTTACCTATGCGCCCAAAACCGAAAGAAATATCACGGTATTATTAAAAAATATAGAGGGTAACTTCGACTCAACCGAAATATTAGAAGCGTTAAGAAATAAAAACGTAGAGAACTTAACGTTCTTGTCGGTGAAAAGATTCACGACGGAAAGAGCTTCGGAGGAAGGTAGAATTTTGTCTGTTTTCCTAGTCCAGTTATCTGCAAGTAGCAAACTTAATAACCTACATCAAATAAAAATCATTTTACACACGTGTGTGAAATGGGAAAAAATAATAAAGAAAGACCGCATCTAGTGTAAGAAATGCCAAAGAATTGGGGGGCCACGTGGCCTCTAACTGTAACCTGAGTTACCGCTGCGTGAAATGTGAGAACGATCGCAACCCCGGCGAGTGCCCCCGCTCCTCCGCGTCGGCGACGACCCCACCGTATTGTGTAAATCAGGGGTGTCAAACCGAAAAGCTAACTTGGGCCAAATAAACAATGCTTAACTTTAGGTGGGCCGCAAAAAAAGAATCAATGTTCATAGAAACAAATATTTTTATTTTGACTAGTACATTGTAATAAACACATATATAAAGTTAAATTATTATTTACGTCCTGATACTTGACATCAAAAATATTCATCTCGGGCCGCGAGTTTGACACCCCTGGTGTAAATTGTAAAAACTTCGGGCACCCAGCTTCTTATAGAGGCTGCCCGAAACTGAAAGAATTAACCCTTTCGGTACGGAGGAACTGGCCGCGGTTATACATTCGTGGGACGAGGAAATTTTCCGCGAGAGTGGTAAGCGTAAAGCGTAAGCCGCGAAAACACGTTCTGCGGCATTCATAGAAATCTCGAGCGCGATTGACACTAAACTTCTCATTCGGACCGCGACATCGGTGACTGACGCGGAATTTAACGTGTTTAAAAAACATTTCTAAAATGTTTATACTGCTTATCTGTATCCTAGCAAGATATTCGAAACGACCATAAGCAATGCAATCACCAAATTCTGCACCGATAATTTCATCATCCCAGATACACAATTTGGCTTCAGATTTAAACACTCCACTATCCACGCGATAACGAAATTTACCTCAGATATATGTTGGGCAAGAAACGCAGGTGACTGCGTCGGGGCGGTACTCATCGACCTCGAAAAAGCCTTTGATACGGTCTGGCTGGATGGACTATTCTTTAAGATGCTAAAGAAAAAGTCCCCCCCCCCTCCATCTAATTAAAATGGTCTGGAACATGTTGCACGGAAAATCTTTCCGTGTAACAGAAGGGACCAACACATCCGCGAAATTATTTTATATAAAAAGCGGCCTACAGCAAGGTACAGTCAATTCCCCCATCCTGTTTAGCATATACATAAGCGATCTTTTACAAATGTACGGCCTAAATAGCGAACCACACAAAAAAGCAATAGCCTTTGCAGATGACTTGCTAATATACATTAACGACAATAAACCCACGATAATGCAAAAACAGTTACAAGAAACATTTAACAAAATTCAGGATTACTTCCACACATGGGAACCCAAAATAAACATAAAAAAATGCGAAACAATACTCTTTCGGCCGTATATTTCCAAAATTTCCGACGCCAATTTTGACGTAAGAAAACACTCCAAAAATGTTCACCTTTACGACTCCAATAACGCATCGATAAAAATCCCTCACAAGAATGCGGTTCGCTATCTAGGCGTACACCTAGATTTTAAATTAAACTACACGAACCACGTAGAAATACAAGTAGACAAAGCACAGAAAGCCTTCCTATCAAACAAAAGACTCTTCTATTGTAAAGACCTGGACACAACAACCAAAATCCTGCGCTACAAGCTCTTAGTACGACCAATTTTAACATACGGTGCACCCCAATATGGTTCAACATAAGCGCAAGCACAATGGAAAAACACAGACTGCTGGAAAGAAAATGCATAAGAGCATGCCTAAATAAATATAGAACCCCCGAATTGAATTACAAAAAACTATACAGCAACCGCCGACTCTATGAAATGGCAAAAATACCCAGAATAGATATTTTCACACTTAAACTCATCCGTAACCCCCCATTGGGCAAATATCCCAAATATACAAGAAAACAGCCGCATATACCCGTCAGCCTATCCCACAATACCACGAAACAACCAGACGTACAGGAATCCTTCGGAATCGTTCATACACTTCGATAGCAACGGACTCATACAAGACAAATACTGTTTAGGATTTCAAGGCGATTTATGGTGCGTACGTGACTTCTCGTACCATGACAAAGGGGCCTTTCTCAGCATTCATGGGAACGTTCACATCTGGCACCATAAACAGATAGAGCGTCTAAATTCGACACTCGAACTTTTCCTTAAAACTCCAAGAACCGAACGACGCACCATAAATCCCTCGAAATGTGAAGAGCGCTTGCGGAACCCCGGGACGGACCCCAGGTCGCACTCCACGCCGGACCACCGGGGTGGGAAAATTACAAGGCCCGGTCTGTCTTAACGAACAAATGGGCGGTACTATTAACAAATTTAGGATTGGCTAGTGGACATCCCCATCTTGCGGAAAACCTCCAAAGGGGTAGGGGTTGGAGTCAATGTGGGAGGTGGGCCGAGAAATTTAGAATCAGAATCAATTCTCACACCGAAGGCAAACGTGCTCTTCGTGTATAGACCAGTATGGTCATCACACATACAGTAAACTAAGTATAGAAACAACGGCTCTTGCCGGCCATCTCTTGATGGTCATCTTCAATATACGAGCGTAATTGTGCACCAGCCACAATTCAACCCGCGCTTGTTAACAAATACAAACAACCAATTATATACCATTTTAACTCTTTGCAGTCGAAGTTATTTCAACGTCAAAACCAAGACAGTACTTCTGACCTATAGTATTTCTACTTTTAATAATTATTTGCCTGTTGTGCATATAACGTTAAGCTTATTTGTTCATGCAGCTTTTTGCACTTGGAACGATTGATTAAATATAGATAAATTTAATAATGCAAAAATTATACTGAAGAATGATGTAGGAATTTTCAGTGGCGCCTTAGAGTCGCCGTTCGAGTGCAAAGGGTTAATAGAAAAACATACGGCAAAAGAATACTTTACAACAGCAACATCAACTTTGACGACCCGGAAATCCGCTTTAGATATAAGTTAACTAAATACGACAAGAAAATTATTGTAAGGGAAGACCCAAAAAAGTATTGGTGGTTCCGCAAATAATATTAACAAACACACGTAGAAATAATAAATGTTAAAACAGCGTCCCGTCCTCGATAGTATAGTGGTTAGTATCCCCAACACCAACACATATTGGTGGCTATAACAACACCTAACATAAATCCGGCGCATCTACACCCGATTAAAATCCTCCGATATTAATATGCAACAAACAAAATTTAACGAGTGTCTGCCTCCTCGATAGTATAGCGGTCAGTATCCCCGCCTGTCACGCGGGAGACCGGGGTTCGACTCCCCGTCGGGGAGAATTATTTTTAATTTTTAATTTTATAATTACCTACTAAATCTGATTTAACTATTATGTTATTTTATCTAGTTTATATACTACTTGTGTATTATTATTCGTAAGTGGATTTTACTATACTATTAATATAATTTCTGTATTATATTCTTTATCTATTACTACCCTAATAATAAGAACTTAGCATTAATATAAACATAAGCTACACATAATCCCTAGATATACCAAAATCAAACATTGTGCAAATAGATATAAGTGCAATAATGTATAGTATTTACAAGGTAGAGTAAGCATTCGCAATTAACAAATAACTATATTTAATTAGCATATAAGTATAGACATAGATATTAACTAATAACTTCCCCCCCACCCCTACCTATAAAACCAAAGATTGTACAGTTTTTTTTCCTATCCGTGCCTTTCTGTACACAAATACAACCGTTAGCAATTAAGTAAACCAAACTTAGCCAAAGTATATAAGAGCTGCAATAAGTGCCATAATAATTTCTTTTCTTCTTAATTAGGTTTTCTACATGAATATATGTAAATATAGTTAGCTTCTCTAATCCTCCCTTCCTTCACCTCTGTCTCCCCCTAATTACATAAGATCGATTCGATATAGTTTCTCTCGCCATTTTCCTATATGTAATATACCAAACGATAGATCAAATCTCAATTTATAATACTTGACATCGCTTAGCTATAAGTGCGACAATAGTATAACAGACCAGACCACGCGCACTCCAGGTTAGGAGTCATTAGTCTTTATTATATGTAACTTCTACACTCCACGTTTTCCTTATTTTTGTACGTTTTTATGTATATTTTATTGGCATAATAAACGTATGTTATAAAAAAAAAAATGTGGTTAGTATCCCAGCCTGTCACGCGAGAGACCGGGGTTCGGGAGAAAAATTTTATTTTATTTTATTGAACTATAATTCGATCACATTATAATCTTAATGTTACTCTTGTATTATATTTTCCATCCTCCTATACTATTTTAGTGATGAAAAGCTCAACCGTTACCTCTAGCTAATATTATAAACACAAGTTATATATACAAATTTATTAGGCATACCAAAAACAAATAATGTGTAAATAGTTACTTACCAAAAGACGCACAGTAAATAAACCGTGGATGATATTAAGCTTCTAAGTGCAATAATGAATAGTACTAATAACAATGTAGCGTAAGCACCCACAGTAATGACCGATAATTACATGTAATTAGATTATAAGCATGGTCATAGATGTTATCTAATATCTTGTAACTAAAATATAGAATAACAAGACAGACATATAGTACAAAATAGAATTATCAATACTGCGTCTAAATACTAATATTGTAATAAAGCGATTAACAAATAGTTTTTAACATTTTTATTTGCGTCTCCTGTAAATACTGTAAATAAGTAGTAAATCAAAATTTAAGAAAAAGGTTCGATTTCCTGTTGGGAAGGATTTCTTTTTTTAAATTTTTTGCATTTTATATACATATTATTCGATATTATTACATAAAATATACTATAAATGACATGACTATTGAAAAACATTAATTTTATTTCCATCTCATGGATTCGCTTGATTAGAATAACTTAGGTAAGTATAATACTCGTAATATTCATTCTTAGGACCAATCAGTCATTCACTTAAACTTTTTCACAAGAATTTTCATTTTTGTTGCATTTTAGATTTACTTTGGTATATTATAACAAAAAGAACCGAAGGCGTTACAACTATAATAGACATTAGATTAAATTAATTTTAAAATAAATGAATAAACAAAGTATATTGTACGTACAATATTTATTGGGATTGATGGTTTAATGGAAGGTAAGGCAACAATTTCAATTATAGAAGTTATTATGAAAATTAAACTTACCGACCCTTTGACGATTGGGATCATTGTGCATTTCGAGGATTTGATTGGATTCGTACTAGCATCACCGGTCAACTTTTTCGCTACCGTGATCTCCATTTTTCCTTTAGTTTTCTCCACTTCGACACATTTTGGTTTCACATTCTCGGTTTTCGGTTTCTCCAATTTACAACACGGCATGCTCAGATTTTGTGTTTGCACTTTTTCTTCATTCTTGCTTTTTGTTTCTTTTTTTTCTTCATTCTTGCTTTTTGTTTCTTTCTTTTCTTCATTCTTGCTTTTTGTTTCTTTTTTTTCGATCTCCATCTGACGGTCGTGATTAACAGCAACGTTCTTCAATTTGTCCGCAGACAAAACATTCTGTTTTAGATCAGTGCGAATCTCAGCTGGAATTAGTTTATCCGCCGATACGTCTTTCAAGGATATCGACACTTTGTTATTCATGTTTTCCGTTCTCGTGCGAGCTATATCGGAACCTAAACGGAGAAATTAATTTTTGCCATACAGACTTTGTTTAAATGCCAACTTAACTTATTTCTCAAACTTAATATTTCTGTATAATATACTTGTAATTTCACGAGGAAACTCCACAGGATATTTACCTAATTTGAAAGATACTTGCCTATTCAATCATTTTTGTGCTAATTATACGTATAAAAAGTGGTAATGGAATTTGTACCATTTGCTTATCGTTTCCAATTAACCAGAAACGTCTAGACACGATAAGATTAAGATGATCCAAAGTGCCCTATGTAGATTTGAGGACATACAAATTAGTTACAGCATACGTGTGCATAATCTTAGACAATGCTCTATTTCGAATTGTTTAAAATACATATTGTATCATCAGTAATGTTTTTCCTAAAACTGATATTAAAACGTAGTTCGATTTCATTAATTAAATTAAAAAAAAAAAATTAAAATTGGTAAAATTAAATGTGGTAATCTAGAGACAAAAAGTATATTCTGAGAGTACAGAAATGTTCAGAAGGCTCTACTGCATTTAATATTAGGTAAAATCTTTTATGTCTTATTAGGGTACAACGTATAGTTCAGTAAGAATCATTTTCTTCTGAAAATACCAAAGTAATGCGATTACACGTAGTGAACAAACGGTCAAACTGGTAGACGAATTTACCAACAGGCTAAGAAATATTTTGAAACTCCATAGTTACGTCATCTGATTGTAAAAAATTATCCATAGTCGGTAATTCGTCTACCAGTTTGAGTGCGATGCCGTTACGTGTAAGGACGCAGTTTTTATATTTTAGTGGGTTTAACATAGTGGCACCACCTGTGCCGGAATAGCGAATAGCAGTAAATCTTCGGAGTTATCATTTGGGAATGATTTTTGTGAAAAAAGTTCGAGTATTTTGTTACAATATATTTGTATACAAACTTTTCTCATAGATAGTAACCTTAGAACATTTGTTTAACCCCCAAATTTGTAGATTTTATGCTATTTATAATTTATTTATTTATTTTTATTATTTATTTATTTATTTTTATTATTTATTTATTTTTATTACGACGAGCAACATGGAATGCAACGATGGAATGCACGAGCAAATGCAAGAAACGTTCAATTTTCTTTATATTAGAAACATCAAATAAGCTTTCATGGCTTAATATGAATGCAGAAAATTTCTCTGGACATTGTTGTAGCCTCAAAATATTTGTTTGATTCTCGAATTGCTATATAAATTCTTCCTAAAGGACAGGTCTAGTTTGGACGTCCAACGTTTCGTGGTGATAGTGTTTTATGGTCCATAAACTTTTGAAAACAATCAGAAACTGTTATAATAATAGCTTTTGCAATGAACCATGTATAGATTTATGTATAGGCATGTTTAGGTTTTTTTTCATCAATGTTCAAATATCAGTACTCTCTAAAGTAAAAGTAATAAAAGAGATTATAATTCTGCATGCTATTATTTTTATTTTAACTCTTATCCGTCTCTCATTTTTCCCACTTAATTTGTGTTGAGTTGACACAACATAAAGTCAATGTTATGGAAAGATAACACTT